AGGTATAGCTATACCAGCAGCAAGACCAATTCCAACTGGTGCTCCCATTAAAGTTCCAAGTTGCCAAAGTATCTTCTTTTTCCTAGACCATGGCTTTTTACCCCAAAAAGTACATCCAGAAGGACTGAAATTAAACAGAATATGAAAAAAATTATACAAATACTACAACATAAAAATGAATAATATGAAAAAGATCATACCTTAAATAATGAAGATCGCTAATTTCTTTCATGCATAACCAACAAAATTCAGCACCACAAACAGAGCAAATCATATGATTACAACTTCCATCATCCATTTTAACAATGAGAACCTCACATCTTGGACATGGTTTTATATCATCCTCTGTAAAAAGAAATTGTGTAAAATATATATATATATATGTTACAGTAGTTATAGACCTTTTGAGTATAATACACACTATGCTGTGAGTCACTCTGACTAAAACTGAGGGAAGAACTGCGTTCGTAGTATTGAGTACGTTGGGCTCTGGCAGCATCACATGTTTGATTAGGATGCCAACGTGCTTTACAATGGTAGCAGAAGTAAGAATCGCATCCTGGTCGCTCGCAACGTAATTTTGGGCATGAAGCACAACCACTAGCAATTACTGCAAAACTACAATCTGGAGCAGGACACCATCTTGCATCAGGTTCTACAGCAAGAACCCTTCGTACCATAAAATCTTCATATTTTTCCAATTGCGTCTGATCGTTTAAAATCATTCGAATGTCTGTATAAATGCAAATTTTATTTAAAAAAGTGTATGCCATTAACAATAAAACTCACTATTTTATATAAAAAGAAAAAAAAATACATTTACCATTTGGATGTAGTGGTTCTAAACATTCAGGGCATGCTATATTAACTCTAGATTCGGAAATTTGAAATTTGAGATATTGTTGAAAGCAGTCATAACAGCTGCGATGATGACACGATTGAACAACAGGAAAGAATTCCACTGGTAATTCAGCAAAACACAAGGGGCACTTCATTAAACCATTTTCACTGCTCTGAAATAATATTTACTTTACTATCTTTGTATTACTCTGTTGTAACAATTATTTAAAGTAATATATGTTTAATGTAAACCAAATATTTCCCAAAGTTTCATCACACGGGCATATTCTATAAATACCTCTCTGGCAGAAGAAAGTAGAGAGCCTTTGCTGGAAGCACGTTGTAGATCTATGTTCTGAAATTGAAAATGGCTCGAACCATTACTTACTCTAGCTTCTCCTTTTTCAACATCTGCAATCTTGCCGCCAGCTGGATCTTTTGCTAAAAAAAAAATGAATAATATTAAAAAAATGTTGATTTTTCATTTGTTTCTAGGGTTTATTTTATCAGGTATTATTTATTACCTTTAGTATTCCTGTTGCTTGAACTAGGTGTCCTCGCAATTCGTCGACCAATAAGCGGACTCGAATACAATAATCGGCGTAAAGAAAATCGTGGTAACATTCTTCGTGGTCGAGGAACTGCACCGCTGCAGCCTCCTGAAGTGCTATCATTTTCTTTGAACATCCCGAATGATATTATGGATCACTAGAGTCGCATTCTTCGTTTCACAGGATTAAGATAACTCGATCTACGTTAAATAGTATGAACACAATATTAAGTATAGAAGTTGTAAATTAATTCGACTTATAACACTTTTTTTGTTACATGTTTAGCATTTTACGATCTACTGCCACATATTACTCGCAGATCAGATAATGTATAAATAGTTTATAATGCTTAATGTTTAAAAAAATCTATATCATAATATAAACGTATTAAACATGCGGTTTACAGGCGATTATATTTTACGTCATAGGTGCACATGTAGTCTAACACGTAATTATATCGATCGTATTTAAACGTGAAGAACAGGTTATTGCAACTTTAATCTTTTCAACTTAGTTATAGTAAGATTAATTACAAATAAAACTTGAAAACTCTAACATATTTATTACTCTGATAATATAATGATAAAGTTGTTGAATATTATCATTACATCAAATTCCATAAAGTTGTTGAATATTATCATTACATCAAATTCCTCGCTAAGCACAAACTTGTTACATGCAAACGATCCTAATAATTCATCAGTCGCATAAATTTACTGATAATTTTTCTCATAAATTCTCTTTATGTATGTTGAAATTTTACATATATTTACTTTTCAACTTTCACTAAAAAGGAAATTATGCAGTCTGTCAAAGTAGTTGTCATCAATTACGATTTCTCCACGTTCATGAGACGCATAAATAATCAGTATTTCGAAATCTTTAATATGTAACATGAAACATTTTAACACGTAGAAGTATTATCAGCTGCTTTATTCTTATTATTCTGATAATAGTGTAATGAATTAAACACCATCGTACTGCTATATGATAACAATTGTTTGTTCTATTGAAAGCCCAAATCGAAATGTGTAAAGCTACGGATGCACGTCCATTAAAACAACGAACGTTATAACGTCCATTATTGCATAAGATTGAAATGAATGTGATCAGTTGCACACCGATCTCCGTTGTCATCAACGTCCGCTTAATGCTCTCGGCGGACAATACACGCTACAACCGTACATTCAACAACGGCACGAATTTTGTTGCACTTTATGTGTTTCTATTACTCTAACCCTACAAGTAGCAACTTTTAACCTCAGTTTTACCATCATTAACATCTGCATAATATATTCTGTATTACGCATACAGTGAATATGAAGGTTTTAACATTCGAAATTGAAAAATGCCTCATTTTATAGGAGATATTAAACAGTAAGTATCGCATTAACAAAAATAAGCAATGGTTAATTGTCGCTACATTAAATGAACATTTCGAAATAAAAACCGCAATGGAAAATAAAACTATTGGTAAGTCCATGTTATTCTGCCAAATTTTTGCAGTAAATGAAACGTTCAGTATGACTAGGTTAGTAAGGTCAGTCGAAAGTACGTTCGCTGTTTTAACAGACGTGTGTCCATAGCCTTAATCATGTCCAATTCGTAATAGTGCTTAGTGATACGATGTGATTTATAGTAGAATATAGAAATTTATAAACATTAAAATCCGATTATAAATTCGTAAACTATATTTGTGGATTAGTCGTCAGATATAAACAGTGTTTTTATGCAAATTTTTATATTATATTACACGCTTGTTAATTCGTGAAATGTATGAATAAGTATAACCTCAGTTTAACCAATGTGACGTAAATTTGTAAAAAAAAAAGCTTAAATACCCAATCTTTATATATAGACATAGTTATGATTATTACAAATGTAAATTTTGTAAGAGATGCAAAATAATCGCCATTTGTAATGAACTTAAATGCACATATACATACATTGCATAAAGTATGCATGTGAATGAATATGTACGTGTTCCATTGAAGTCGAATCTTTTTTCCTCGAAAACAAATTTTATTTTAAAAATAAAACAAACACGCTTGAACTGAATACTGAGAAACCTTACATATAGATGACTAGCATTAACACAGGTGTGAAAGTTCATGAGCAAACACGAACTAAAGTCGGTCTAACCAACGTATAAACGTACCTGGTTTCTGTTAACCAATACTTTCAAACCTATAACACCTTTAATAACTAATAATAGATTCACTATTACGGTCACACACTACTGATAAGTTTCACTTATTTTGTTGGTTAAGAACGTTCACTTGACACAACAGCTGACGGCTTCCGACTACAGACTTATCATGGACATATTTTAGATGAGAAACGCAGTGAACGAAATACAGGAATGTGTATACAGCGCCGCTGTATGAAAGCATTTGATATAATACCGCTAAAATTAAAAATCTCAAATTAAACTAAAATTGTTTCCTTCAATTATTAGTATACATTTTCTTACGAACTTGTTTAAAAAATATAAGAAATAAAAAAATAGTTAAAAGAAGTGTAAAAAAGTTTACTAAAGAAATAAAACAAAGTTTGTAATTCCAATGATATTTTTAAACATCAATATCTCAACATTAACTGTTTAACAAAGTAATTTATTGCAAAAAGAATTCGTAAAAAAGGTGATAGTTTTCTAATATAAAATTAATTCTTGAAACTATTATTTAATAATTATTT